CAACTCACCTTACTCATATGATTATATATATACCTGTCATCATGCCATATATGAACATATAACTTATATCAATCTAAACAAAATCATATTTTTACAAGATATACTAATAATGTAACTTCTTGATATTTCCATTCTACTTTACATTTAGCTAAAGACATTACAGGATGTAATCAATGGCCCATTTTTATGCCATATTCCCTATTTTGACAATTCCAATATAATTATACTAATGAGATTTCGAAACGGATAACATTATTACAAACTTTATACGAATTTCAAAATAAGGTAATTAACTTATAGCCATCGTGTTGAACTCACCACTAATTAACCAACACGAAATAAAACTGAAATTTAAACTAAAGGAATTAGATGAGTAGAAAGCAGAATTATAACTCCAAACTTCATTTGTTTGCCGTGTTGAAGCTTTTCACAACATGAGTTTAAAAGGTATGTACGTGGAAATGAAGGTAGAAGGAGTAAATTTCAGCAGTAGCAGCAGTAACAAAATTAGCAGAATAGCATTCTTTCCACAGATTTGAGCAATAATAAGACCCGAGGAAACCAAATGCACAGTAACAGTATTTTTGAGAAATTTCATATTTGAACCAAAAAAAATGCCACTAAAAACAGACCCGGACAGATTCATAAATATGTTTCTGATTTTTCTTTTCTTTTTCTACATATGTTTCAGATTGTGTGTGTATATGTGTGTTCTCTTTTTGTTTCTTTTTCTGTTTCCTTCTTCCTCTTCAGATTTTCATTTCTGATTTTCTGCTTATGATTTTCCTCTCTCAAATTTATCTTTTCCCTCTGTGTATTTCTCCTCAAATCTCCCTCAAAAATCTGATCCTTCAAAAAAAATCTGTTTGCTTCCTATTTTATACAGGTCTGTCCCTTTCTTTTTAAGTGCTGCCTGGACCCCTTTTATCTTTTTTAAAAATAGAAAATCATATCAAAATCTGCTTTTAAAAACTTTAAATCCCATTAAGTGACCCTTTTCCTGATTGTCAGCAGCCCCATTACCCTTTGTTTTCCATTATCACATTAAATAATAGCCATTAACTCACACTTTCAGCACACTACTATTAACATATTACCCTCATTGTTTTATCTGTTTCATTCCGGAAAATGTCCCTGAAATCCTACTGTAATTACTGTCCAAGTTATCTGAATTAAACTTGTTTAGCAGCTAACAACCAATTCCTAAATCAAACAACATTCTGTCCTTTCATTGTTAGTTAATTGACCCAACAAACTCAATGTCTAATAACTAATGGACAAGCTAAATTCAGATTGAGCAGCTGAACTTGCATACAAACACATTAACACCATGCAGAACTTAACAGAACCAACAAAATTGAATTGAAATTCAGATCAACATGAATGCAGGGGCATTGTCAGTATACTGACAATGCCCTGAAACTTACTGGTTCAGAAATCAACATATACACAGCATTCATTTTGACAGACTCATTGAAATGTAAACAAGGGTGATTTAACTGACGAGTATTAATTTAAACT